TACCAAATTTAGTTTATTTCTAGTACAATAGTAAATATGAACAGTAATGATACATCCTCCTAATTTTGAAACTCTAATGATACGGGAGGAAATAACAAAAAAAAAAAAGAAAAAAGAGTTAAAACATCACCATCACTGTGAGGCCACACTTAGAGCTCCTAAACATTTTTCAAATAGGAATCTATAAAATACATATGAATCATGACCTATCAATGTTAATTTTCAAATTTTATTATGTAGAGTTCTATTTTTTTTTTGGGTTCAAATTTTACATTTAATTTTTTTTAAAAAGAAGATAATATACAAGTTCACTGTGTAGATCCATTTTTTAGACCTAATGACGTATAAGTGATATGATTAATTGATAATTAAATAATATATGAGAGAGAATGTTATTTTTAAAATTCTAATTGATTGTCATATCATTGATTTTTTAAATTGGGTCTAACTTTTTTTTTTTTTTTGGGTAAAATTTTAAAATCTAAGAAATATATTGGGCACATCAAGCTATATATCTAATTTTAAATCTTTTAAATGGAAAGTTCAAAACAAAATTTTATAAGCCACATGTCATTTGAAATTTGAAAATTTGGAATATTTAAAATATAAAATTTAGTAATTCTGTGGTGATTGCATTTGATAGTATCTGATGTAACACCATAAAGACAATAATTACATATATCATGTGACGCCCATCAAATGATGTGAGGAATTACAATACATGGAACTAAAATATGATATCAAAATATGGTCATATAATATTATACATTTTAAAAATCTACATATGAAGTGTGAAAACTATCCTTAAGATAAGTCGTAATAGATTCCATTATCTAATGTTATTTGCAATTGAATAACCTATACAGTCTAAACAATTTGGTCTAAAAAATAAAATAACATAAGCCTACACTGGAGTTTTTATCAATAGGCTAGGCTTTAAACACTAGAATGGTTCAATTAGAAAAGTTAAGTTTGTGAGCTAATTCATTTACATTCTTTTTATATGCAAATGTGTTTTATTTATTTATTTAATAGATTAATTTTAAAAGTGGCATATAATCCAAACAATATGAATTGTTTAGTGGTACACACTGAGAAAAATTATTTTATGAGAAAATTGATTCGTAAATAGTTGAAGAGGTATTAGCATAATTTATTTTTTATAATATGAAAACTAAATATATATATATATATATATAAATTTTAAAATTGAGAAAGTATTCGTCTTAATGGTGAAGTCAAACTAAAAGAGTGGGTTTGGGGTGGGCTAAATGCTAGATCACCCTAACTCAAGTTTGAACTTTAATTTTTCTTTTTGATGGTTGACTTCATTACAATCGATATATTTGAAGAGAGATCTTGCAGTTATGCTTACCAACGGGCAACTGAGAAAAAGGACTATTCCCTTTGTTCTCTCGGCTATTTTATTTTGTAAATTAATTTTAAAGTTAATTGACGCATTTGATGTGCTATATTATTAGATGAACATAAGATAAGTTACAAATTACAAAATTTTATGTCATAATTTATTCATGTTTTACCGTAAGTGTAATTTTTATAATGGGAGCAGTTTGCCTCTAATTTTTGATCAAACTGAACGGTGTTGTTCGGCTCGTGGAAGCTCACTACGGATCCCGTTTTGATAATCCGAACCGTTCAATGTGTAGAACTCGTCGAGTACTATATGCCTGTAAAAAATCATTTTGATCGGATATCGAAAGCTATCTCATCTTATCAGTTTTTTGTCAACCGTTAATTTGTTCGTTGTCCATTTTTTTTATTATAAAAAATTGATTTGATCACATAGCTATCGATATCCAATCAACGTGATTTTTTACAGGCATATAGAACTCGACAAGTTCTACACATTGAACGGTTCGGATTATCAAAACAAGACCCGTGGTGGCCCCCCACGGGCCAAACACCACCGTCCAATCTGATTAAGGACCGAAGGCAAGCTGCTTCATTTTATAATTTATTCTATTTTTTGCCTTTATATTTTATTATTTATATTATAACACATTTTTGTTTTTAATATGTAGAAAACACCATTAATGGCAAGACTATAATAATAATAATGGTAAGTATTATGAAAATAATTTTTTAAAAAAAATTGATTTTAAATCTCTTTTATCTCTATATTTTAAAATATTTTTAATTACTATTTAATATTAATATTATTTTTTAATTATTTGTGTGATACCGTGTATAACGCCTAGGAGGAACTAAAGGAGGAGCTCAAGAGAAGAAGTAGTTTTTGCTAGCGAACGTTGCATGGCTCGCACCTAATGCGGACCAATAAGGCACTTTTAAGTCTTTTAGGACCAATTTGTTTTCAGAAATAAAATGGAAGGAATTGATAGTGAGGGGATTAAGTAAAATTGTGTTTGCTTTTATAATAGTTGTTAGTGTAAGAATTGCTAAATTATTTTTATATAAAATAATAAAACAAATAAAAAAATATAAAAAATTAAACATTAATGTTTTAAAAAATTCCCAATATGTTAAAAATAAAAATAAAAAATTCTAATCACCTCACTATTTTTCTAATACCACCTTCACCTCCTCTTTCTCAATCCCCCTTCCAACCTCCATCTTAATTCCCTCATCTATCCTAATCTCTTTTCCAACTCTACAAACAAACACAACACTAAATAATCCCATCTCCATCCTAATCCCCTCCCATCCATTACACTCCAAAACAAACGAGGCCTTGTATAGTTGGCTTGAGGAAATTAGGTAGTTATTCCCACTCCGCCTGGATATAGTGGTAAATTCAAGCGTAAAAGGTAATAATTAGCTCAAGAAAATGATAAACAATAAAAAGCTGGTGATCAGGGATAGAATCTATATAATAAGGCACAAAGCTTTTTGAAAAATGTATCAAAATGTATGTGAGATATATTTTGATCCAATGGCTGAGATCAATCCCAAATATATATCAATGGTGGGGATGTGTTTGATTCCCGCCCAAACACCCTCTGCTCTCTCTCCCACGCCTAACAAGCACGCCTGCCTCAACACAAACGTTATCCTCAACTCCCTCTCTCTCTCTCTCTCTCTCTCTCTCTCCCTCTCCCTACTATGCTTCACAACCGATCTGAGATGTGTTCGATCTAGGGCTTGATCTGATCGATCTTGTAGAGATTCAGAAGGAGGTCGAGATCTGGCGTTCAGATCTGGCGTTTCGATCACATTGCCCATCGGATTGATTCAGTAGTTCTCGCCTCGCCGGCGTCGGCGCTGCCACATCGGATTGATGGAATTTTTTTTTTTTTGGAAATTTCGACTTCTTTGGTTATTGATTTGTTGATTTTGCAGACATGTGGTTCTACCTCCTGAAGTGCCCAAACTTCTTCCCAAGAATCGCCTTCTCTCTGAAGTAAGTAATTAGGGTTTAAAGAAAATGAAGTGGAATATAAATTTCGCCTTCTCTCTGTGTTGTCATTAGGTATATGAGATAAATAAATCAAATTACTTGATTTTGGTTTTATTTAAAATTCACATTCCAGTAGATCAGTTTATGAGAAAATTTGATCAATTTATCAGTTTAAAGAAAACAAAACACTTTTGATGGTATCATATATTTGATAATTTTTGATGGTATCATAATTTATATTTCACATTTCACATTTCACTTTTGATGGTGTCATAAATTTGATAATTTCACATTCCAGTATTTCACTTCCAAATTTCAACATTAAACAATTTGATGGTATCATATATTTGATTTTGTGTATCAGAACGAGTGGCATGCGTTTAGGGTGCAGCAGAGCCGAGGATGGGTCCACTATGCTCTTTAGGAGGCCTCTGAACTATTAGCAGCAGCAGGAGAATGGTGGTTTTTCTTAGGGGTGTGGGAGTGAGTGTTTAGAGAGATGGGAAATTGGGTTTAAAGATTCATTACATATTTTTTCCCTTTATCCATTAAAAAATAACACCTTTTTATACCCACCTTCAAATTCAAATACCCACCTTCAAAACCCACCTTCAAATTCAAACCTTCGATTCCCTCTCCCTTCAGATCCGTAGCGTTCCACTCCAATCCCACCCCAAATTCTGAATTCTTGCCGAAGAAAGCCCCCGTTTCGCCTCTCTCTCTCTCTCTCTCTCTCGCATTCGGTGTTTCTCTGCTTCTGTTACTTTCTCGGAGTTGTGTGAACAGGTATGTTCTGTTTCTCTGCTTCTGTTTCGCAACCTTTTCTTGAATTTCTAAATTCTAGGGCTTATTTGGTTTCTGTTTTAGTCAACCAACACTTACCTCCTCAAGAATTCAAGTTTCTTTTTCAGTATGTGTACTTTTCTGATAATTGTTCGAATTAGTGAGAGAAAGCTGAAAGGCAAATTGGGCTTTTTTAGGATAGCGAGTATGATTTTATTTTATTTTATTTTTTAGTTTGTAAAACTTTTCTTTTTTTTTCTTTTTTTTTTAATTTGCTGCTCATTTATTGCTGTCAAACTAAATCCGTGAATTTGAGAGGCCCATTGAACTTTGTAGCTCATCGCATTCAACATTCCCTTCAAAATTTTGTGTCAGACCCCTTGAAGAATCAACATTAATACAGAACTCTCTCTCTCTCTCTCTCTCTCTCTCTCTCTCTCATACCCTCAATCTTTATTGTTTTCATCTTCAGTAATATCATAGCTTCATTCAATTGAAATGTGTGAAGAGAATAGTCCAAGTACAAATTAGAACAAGAGACACTCTATGAATTGAAGTTTATGGGTTCTTCTGGGTCTGCAATTCAATATGAATACTAGGTTATACAACATTTTTGCTTCTGGGTACTGAATAGTGAAGACCGAATTTGCTTTGATGGGTGTTCTTCTAATGAATTTGGTTTTTTTTTTTTTATTTTATTTTATTTTATTTTATTTTTTTTAATATCAGCTGCTTATGACAAGGAAGGTTTCGACTAAATTTAGATGTTTTAGGCATTTTAATCGGATGTTTTTTGCTTATTTTTGAAGTAACTGGGTTTGATTTCTATTTGTTGCTCGAAATTGTCAAGTGGGAAATTTAGGGGAAATTTATGTTCTTCTCGGATTCTCTTACCTTTTCAGGAAGAAAGCGGGGATGAAAAGCTTTCTGTTCTTCCTAGGCACACCAAAGTTATTGTAACAGGAAACAACAGAACAACAGAACAAGGTGTCGTCAAGAAGGCTGTTGGTCTTGGTGGTTGGCATTGGCTGGTAATTTTCTTTTTTACCTTTACACCACTTTATCCTCTACTCATTTGACTTTAATCATATCATTGCTATTTTAAATTCTTTTGCCAAGTCACATTATTGTTATCTTTCTAGCTTTTTCAATTTCTAAGGCCTGTGGTGCTCTCTTGCCAGGTGCGATGCCTGAGTTTGAGCTCCTATTTCCCTTCTATTGAATGTAAAGAAATAGAAGTGGAAATCAGAAATCAATACCAAATTTAAAATTTTTGTTTGGCTGCACTAAAACAACTCTGTATTATCAAGCAATATACTCTATATAATAAGGGAAGAGGGTTTTTGGTGTTCTGTTGTGCAATTCTATCCCAATTTTTATTTATTATTTTTTAATGTAGCTTATGGGTTTGGAATTGTATTTTAAAAAGATTTTCTTTTATTTATTTGGGTCTGAAATGTATCATGATTAGGCTTAATGAGCTTTAGCTTTGTTGCATTATTGCTTATTCTTTATTTATTATTTTCCACAAATTTAATAATCCCAATACAAACATCAAGGAAACCGGCAAGGACTGCTAAATATGTAGCTGAAGTGTTATTTGGGGTTAGACCCAAATGTTTCTCTGCTGAATGGAACCATTAAGAGCACTACAATTTATATATAGAAAAATTAATGTGGTTTAAATTCATTATGGTTGTAGTCTTCACATTACCTAGAATCAATTTGCATATTGATTTTGTATGCATGTTTTTCTGATTTTTATGCGTACATGGAATTACTGTCGTATTTAAATTTAGTTTTGGGATCTTTCCAATATATAACTCTCCATAAGAAATGATGTTTTATTTTATCTATTTAAATTTATTATTAGCAACACATTTAATTATCTATTTCTTGGCGAATTTTAATTGAAAGAAAAGAATTTTGTTTACGAAAGATAGAGGGTAACTCTTCTAGATTAATGTTAAAGACTTGCACTTTGGAATTTACAATTCATTTGCAATGACATCGCAATGGAGTTGAGTTACATGATTGAATTTGTAATAAATCAAAAGTTAATATGTAATTTGTCATATCATTACATATAAAATTAGAAGAGATTTGTTTTTATTGGTGTGAATTCTTTTTCCAATTATTATTATTTTGTTTGTTTGTTTGTTTGGTTTGTTTTGTTTTTTTTTTTTTTTTGGGACGTATACATTGACCACTTCCCATCATTTCTCCCCTTATTTTATTAAGGGTAGCTCTAATTTAATGGATAAATAAAAAATATTGGAAATAGCATATTAGTTGCTTTTTAAGAACAATAATTAAGAAATTGAGGTGATTCACCTACAAAGTGGCTTATCAAATAATGTCAGCTACTTCTTACGTTAAAAAATACTAAGAAAAATAATATATAGATCAAGAATTCAAACACAAAACAAATGTTAATAAAGTAATATATGTTTTAAATTCACTTCACATGTGAATTCGACTGTAACCGAGTTAAACCACACACTATTTAATTTTTTTTTTTTGATATACTATTTAAGGCTATATTTGTTTGGGTATACTACATAATTTCTCTTAAGTAGTTTTATGAAAAATCATCTAACCTTTGTAGGTCGATTGATTAATCCTAAACATTTTTGGCTATATGATCACAACTTTGAGACACTTTTCATAAAACATTTTTATGATCGTTAACATTTTTGCAACACATAGACTGTAATATAAGAATTTTATTAGATAGTGCCTTCAGGCACGGGCAATCTCTGTTATTTTTTAAAAAGGTGTTATTTTTAAAATGAAACTGGTATTTGATGAATCTTTTTTCTTTTTGTTTCACTTTTTCAGGTTGGTGATGATATACAGATGATGATCCAAGTTAGGTTTTTTTTCCAATCAATTTGTTTCGTATGAATAAAAATTTCAGCATCGACAACCACCCTCCCTTCGAACTCGCACTCGCAAGGTTCGATTTCTGCCTCTCCCCTTTCGTAGATCAGTTTATTACTTCTTTTAATTAATTTCAATAAATTTCTTGATTTCTAATTTCGTAGATCAGTTTATTGCATTCCAATAGATCAGTTTATGGCTATGTCTGGTTTGTCTATATGGTTGCAACACCACCACCGCTGCTCATCATCACCACTGCCGCTGTTGATGCAAAACCCACTTCATGCTCAAACAGAATGTGTTCAAGGAAAGCTTCAAGTAAAATTCTTCAATACTTTGAAATAGACCACAGCTCTATTCATACTTTTTTTATTTTTTTATTTCTCAATCAATAAGTAGCTAATTATAAATACGAAAAATATTTATATTATCAAACAAATCACTAACTCATACTTTTGTACAGTATTATTACTATTTTTTAAAATAAGTTTTAAACATCCAATACAGACTCAACACAATGCATGCTACAACACTATGGATTGGGAATCAGATCACAGTGAACATTTTGAGTTGTGTATTGAATGTGTCTGTTTGAACCTACATGGAAGGAAGCACATGCGAATTTGGGGCAGTGACTGCGTACCCTTTATCTTTCTTTTGATTTTTTAAGTATCTACTGTATTGTTCTGCATGCTAATTTTGTAATTAAGTTCTGATGTCAAACTTAAACATTTCAATTGACTTAAACCCACTTCATATTGTATTGTTTTGCATGCTACATCCTTTCAATTTTCTCCCACAAAAGCACCCTGTCACAATTATATATATATATATTTTAATCTTAATATATATATTCCTTGCCTTCTATAGCTCCTACAGTATTACCTACACTTCCTTCACTGGGACAAACTTCACATATTATACCAAGGGATTGTTGATAGTGTATTATTTGCTTCTTTTGACAGTGGCATATATTCTTCAACCTTGAATAGATTTAATTTTTTGAATTGGATATTTTGATGGCTATACTAGAAATGTATCAATGTGCTCTATCTTCATTTATTTATTTTTTTGAATTAATGATTGAAGACTGAATAGTGATCTTTGAAACATAAACTTGACACGCAGACCTGGCCATAATGCAAATAAAGATGTTCACTTGACAGTGAAGAAATCTACAGCAGGTCCGCATTTGAATATGAGAAATATGGGATTTGTTACGCTACACTAGATGTAAATTATAGTATTTATGGTGCATATATGGTGGTGAAAATCCATTAGAAAAGGAGATTGTAAACTTAAGACCAGGGAAAGCTTCGAGTAACTCACTTAGAGATCAATTAAAATTTGTTATTTAAAATATTAACATATAGTTCTGGGAAAGCTACTGAAGATTAAAGTTGGTTTTGTTGGTTGTTGTTTATGTTGGTTGTTGATTTACTTGATAGATAGTATAAATTTGTTTTGTTTTTTTGTTTTTGTTTTGTGACATAAATTTATGTTTGGACTTTCTAAATGATAAATGGTGAACTTCAAAATACTTATGATTATAACGAATTTTGATTTTGGTTTTAATTTGAATTGGATACTTTGATGATGGTTATACTAGAAATGTATCAATGTGCTCAATCTTCGTTTATTTATTTTTCTTAATTAATGATTGAAGACTGGATAGTCATCTTTTAAACATAAACTTGACATGCAGATCTGGCCATAGAGCAAATGAAGATGTTCACTTGATAGTGAGGAAATCTCCAGTCCTCGATTTCTGCCTCTCGAACTCGGCTCGCAAGGTAGTCCTCGGTTTCTACTTCTCCCCTTCTCTCTCTGTTGGGCTGTGTGTTTTTTTTATTATTTCGATTTCTGATATTGTTTGGTTAATTTTAGGTTTTTTTTTGAGTTCATCGTGTCCTGCCTCTCTCTCTCTTTCTGACGGGCTGTGTCTATTTTTTAATTGTATCTACATATGAATAATTGCGATTTCTGATGTTGTTTGGTTAATTTTAGTGGTATTTTTGAGTTCATTGTGAAATTCGATTATATTTGATTGGATGTTATTGTTGTTGTTGTTTATATTCATGTTTTTGTGTGTACGAATTTTTTCCCGGAAAAAAGTACCCATAAAGTGCCTTCAATTTATAAATGTGGTTTCACACAATCACAGCACCTTCGATCTTCCTTACCATTGCCAGACTTGGCTTGGAGAATGAGATTCAATTATTATGGTGTTACCCTCCCTCCGAAATTTTGACAATTTTTATTTTATTTTAACAGGAAATTTCAACATTGTCGAGGAAGCATCATTGTATCAGTGAAGTTTCGGTTCAGTTCTTATCCTCGAGACAGTGAGTCTTCGCTCTCAGTTTTTGGATTTGATACATTGATTTCAATAAATTTCTTGATTTCTAATTTATTTTATTTGAAATATTGCATTCCAGTATAAAAATTGTTAATTTTTGTGTTTGATATTAAAGATTTAGATTTTGTAACAATTTTATCTGATGTAAAAATGTGAAACAGCACATCTAGCAAAAAATCAACTCAAACAGAAAGGAAACAAGTCACCAATTCCTTTGTTGTTTTTCAGCTATGTTAACTCACAATTTCATTATTCTTTTTTGTTTTCCTCAAAGATGTTTGGTTCATAGAATTGTACAGCATTTGAGGATAACAGAGTATTTAACAATTCTTCCAAATTTGAGTTTGAATTCCCAAACGAGGCACAACTCTTGATAAAACAATGTAACCAAGAACAATAAAATGGCTGCATCATCCACAAAATAAAAATTCAATGATATGATCAATTATTTTTAATATGATATCACCGTTATATTAATTTTTTTTTAACGTCCAATGCCCATTTACAAACGAGTAATAGTGTGATAAGTAAATTTGTTTATCTTATCATCATCTTTACATTAGTGGAATGGATCCCAATCATTAATTCAATTTGTTTTTATGGGATGATTGATAGTGGTATCATGGCTCAACACAATCCATATGTTGCACATATTGTTTTATAGTTTGGCAACTTAATTTCAATAGGACTTCTAATATAATATATCCTTTTAGTCATGGGGGAACCAAAATTTAAAGCTTAAATAAAAAAATAAAAAAAACTATCCATGCATTCTTCTTTAATTGAATTGTCATTTGTGCTTCTATTTTATTGCACTTTTCATCAGGTTTATTTAAGAAAATTAATTCCATGATTGTATCCATAAATCCTATATCACATCTCTCTTGCTTGCTTTGTATCTTCAAGTGATTAACAGGTTTCTTGATTTCTTCAGTGCAATGGTATTTTAAAGTGCGTAGGTTTCTTGATTTCAAATTTAAAACTCTCTCTCTCTCTTTTCTCTCTCTCAGCTTTTGTTGTTTCCTTCTTTCCCCCATCAGAGCTCACTCCGGTAAGTTATTTCTCCCAGATTTTGTTGTTTCACTCCTCTTCTTCTTTCTCTTTCAACTTTTGTTGCCCTCCGTGAAATTTATAATTTTAAAGTTGCCCTTTTGTTCTCTATTCTGTTTAAAATATGTAGAAATTCAAACATGTCTACAACTCCAGATATTGATTATTCTTTGTTTTTCCTTTTCCCCTCTCGTTTCTGCCTCTGCTACATTAATTTTGTTTCCTAGCTCTTTGATTTACACATTATGATGAGAAGGTAGACCAATGTAGCTCTTTTTTATTTTTTAGATAACTAAATGAAGAATTATGTTCGAAATCAAAATTACAGCGCTGATAGGACGTTGACTGACTGGAATACAGGGAGAAACTAAGCCTGGGCGCAAAACACCTCTCCTGATGATGGTTTATCAGACAGACTTATGCCACTGGGACACCCAAGTATGTGTTCCATCAGTGCAATGGTGTTTTAAAGTGCGTAAGTTTCTTCATTTTTCATTCAAAAATTTTAAATATGATTCAAACTCCAAGGTTTATTTGGTAGCACATTGTTTTTCATTGTTGGTTTTCAAATAATTTTTTCTTCCATGTGTTTGTTTTTTTTTTTTATTTATTGAGTTGGCCTTCCATGTGTTTTGTATTAGCCACAACTGGTTGCATATGTAATGCTTGATAAAAAGGTTCAGTTAGAAGGATCATTTGCTTACATATGTATTATCATGTGCAACGTCTCCTATTTGGAACTCTAGAACCTTTGTACACTTGAGAAAAGTCTAATATCTATATTCAAACATATTATTGTGATTTGTGAATAAGGTACTGCAAGTCCAAGGAAAAATCAAACACTGAATTTTCATTATTGATGAGTTCGTTTTTTTAACTTTTACATTTGATTCATTGTTTCTAGATTTATAGATGTTCATTTAGGTGATTTTTGTGTAGTTAGTTCAGTTTATATTTGTAGCAAATTTTGAAAATATTTCTCTTATATTTGGTTAGAATGGTTTAGATAATCCCAACTAAAAAGTGAAGCGTTGAGATTTTTTTCACTCTCTTACTATTTCCATTTCTCTCTTCTTTCTCACCATACCTCTTCTATCTTCTATTGACTCTTTCTCTTCTTTTCCTACACCTACAACACTGCTGTTCACCCCTAAGCCATCACCGACTCTGTTCGCCTCACATGTGCCTCCTCCGCATCCCCTTCATTCCCTGCTAATGATGTCGCCACCAGTGGCAATGGATGCCTCTCAAACCTTTTTTTTTTTTTAATCTTTTTCCCATTTGTATCCTTTTTCCCATTGTTTTCTTTACACCATGCTTTTAGGTACGGGCATACACTAAATTTTCTTTACACCGTGCCTCCCAAACAATGTATGATGCTAAATTTTCTTTAGGGAATTGACCCACAATGCCTAAAATATTGTTTTGTTGCTATACATGGTGTAATTGGTATTGTTTATGCATTTGTATTTGTTGTATAGGTACTTTAACTCATTGCAGAGTGAATGCTTTTCTGCTTGTTTCCAATCCGATGTAAATATGGTCATTTCAGCACCAACGGGAAGTGGAAAAACAATATTTTTTGAGCTTTGCATTTTGAGACTGCTCTCAAGGTTCATCTCTACAGAGGGAAGATTTATTTACTTAAAGCGAATGCTTAAAACAGTAGGCTTTCAACAATTTTGTATATGAAAAATTTTTAGATGTTTATTTAAACACTGAAAAGTACAGAAGATTATTGATTTCACACCTACAGATGTTCTTTATTTCATTAACTTTGTATTGTTGGTTGGTTTTGGGAATAAACTCCTCATGTTGTGGAAGTAATTTTGTTATTATTTGATTTATATACAGATATATAATATATTTTTAGGGTCTATTATACCTTATTGTCTGACTAATGAGGTCTATTATAATTGTTAAATCCATAATTGCTTCAACAGTTGAAATCTTTTCCTGTATACGTTCACATTTATCAGTGATTAGAAAAGGGATGTACCTTACAAAACATTTACAGTAGTATTTAGTCCTTACATAGGTGTTTCCATGATTTTATATATCTGTTGTGTTACATAAGGTTTGAACAAAATATATATGGTCTCTCTGCACCATTAGTAAGTTGTTGTGCTTGATTTTTTCTTATTTCCATGTGGTGTAGATTGTGCTGAGAATACATTTTTTAAAATCTCATGTGACCATGTAGGCAAGTTAAATTTTTTTTTTCCCCCTATATTTTTTCTCATGTTGTTTTGGGTTTATAATTTGCAAAGAACTATTACAATGTTGAGTTGTGGCAATAGCACTAGCAAGTGTGCATTGCTTGGTGTTTAAAATTAATTTTTTTTTAAAATTACAAAGTATTGGTTGGTGTGCATTTCAATTTTAATTTTTTTTATAGATTATAGAGCACTGGCTGGCATGCATTGTTTGGTATTCAATTTTAATTTGATTTTTTTTTTGTAATTGTCAAGCATTGGTTGTGCATTGTTTGGTGTAATTTTTTTTGGATTATTGTGTTAACAAATGTACAATATCTTTGGTTTGTGCGTTTTATTTTGTATCTATAATTTTTTTTTTTTTTTTGACTTGCTTGGTAAGGATGCTTTTATTTTTAATTTTTGTGTTGATATTGTAACGCCCTCAAAATAATAACATTAAACCCATCAATATAGACATGCATTGATATATAAAAGTTCCACATTCTTCCATTCATCAGAGTTCCATTACAAAAAGTATTACATGTTAACGACAAAAGCAAATGCCCTAAAGGCTTACAGCTTTCCAAGTTAACACTTGGTTACAACAAAAGAGTACTAACTCATTTACACATTAAGCCCTTGGCTTGAATATATATGTAATACATCAAGAAACTAATAACAAAAGTCTGCCCGCCTCTAGCCTCCCAAGCTATGTCCTTGGAGGTGGCATGCTACCTGTACCTGAAAATGATATTCCCATATAGGGTGAGCCACAGCCCAGTAGAGATATGCTAAACACAATATGAGCAATGACTAAGACATTAGCAATTGATAAATGTTCAAATTTCATAAACCAATTCATAATCCATTTTCATTTCTTATCAATTTCACAATTTCCATCAATGGCTCAGAACCTGGCCAACCACTTATATGAGATCAAGACTCATATAAAACATTTTCCATTTTTACAATAGATAAACACACATGTTATATCAACATCTCAACAGATAAGCATACAAGCTATATCCACATTTCAACAGATATGCATATTAGCTATATCAACACTTCCCATGACAAGCATATGAGCTGTATCAACACTTCCAATGACAAGCATATAAGCTGTATCAACACAATATCTGACAAGCATATGAGCTGTATCAGTGGAGTCCATCCCCTATCTCCTCCCAAACAATATCCGGTTTAGAGGTCCATCCCCTATCTTCCCCTAAACCGTGGAGTACATCCCCTATCTCCTCCCACACACACAATGCATATATACACAAAGGTCATATACACAATCAATCAATACATAACATTAATGTATTCTATCAACCGTCATACTCTATGACATATCCAATTGATTAGTTTTAGTTTGCCTAATCATCATGCATTGTCTACAACAATCAAAACTACCCTCCACCGGTAGCCCAAGCAATTATTTCTAAACAGATAATAAAAGCTCCAACAGATAAAATATCAATGTTTTCAAAAGTGGGCGATTAACAAATCCAACTCCACTATTTTACCATATAATGAGTCAATTTCATTATTTCCAACTCAATTCCAAATATCGATACTTTTCCCAAATTAATTATACTAATTAATTTACACAACGAATTAGGGCTTTCTCCCTTATTTTTTTTCAATATTGACCCAATGGTCCATATATCAATAATCAACATCAATACCGCTATTTTGAAACCCCAAATACTCATTTTAGAATCAAAATAACAAAACCCTCTTTGACATTTTGAAACCCTAAGTTCCAAAATTTCCCAACTTCAACACTTAATCAAAATCACCAAAAATCTATGTTAAAGACCATAAAAGTGATTAGGAATCCCTACCTCAATTTCGGAGCCCAAGAGGAGAAGTGTAGAAAACTAAAATGCTCCAAACTCCAAGATTCACGGATCAAAATGAAGCCCTCGACGATCAACACAACTTTTACAAAGGGCAAAGGGAAGGAAAGTACTCTAACTAGATCATACCCTAGAGAGAAGGGAGTTTCTAGAGAGAGAGGCTCTCAAAATATCTTTTTAGAAAGTAGGAGAGAGAGAGGAAGTGTAGAAAGTGATTCAAAAATGCCTAGCTGCCCTCTGTTATACGACATTCCCGCTCGAGCGGAAAACATAACGCTCGAGCGTAAAGAACAAAAATCTGGACACGCTCGAGCATAATAAGGCCCGCTCGAGCATCAAGACACAAGAATAAAGCACATCCGCTCGAGCGCGAAAACCAGTCCGCTCGAGCATAGATTTCCTCCTCCCAGAACTTATACCCAGGAAGTACTACCCGCTCGAGCGCAAAAATCACATCTGCAGAAGTTTTGCAGGAACCCGAAATACTGGAGGTGTGCAATACCCGCTCGAACGCAAGAAGACCCGCTCGAGCGGATCGCCTAAAAACTAAACAACAAGGAATTGAAACCAAGGCCTAACCAACCTGTAACAACCCTATTCAAAACATCCTAAAACTCAATCAAGTGGAATTAAAGGACGACAACAAGATAGATACCACTACCAACTTCACGAAACCGAGTCCGGAATACAACAGAACTGCAAAGGGACAACCGGGATCGCTATAGATATGAAGTTTATGCTTTAGAGTCATAAAGTTTGTTAATAAAATCAAAATGTTTATGATTGAGTTACTTGCCGTACTTTAAATAGTTGATTAGGAAATGTTTATTTTCAAGTTTAAAAAAAAAAAAAGAACTTTTCAAAATTAACCAGACCTTGATTTATATTTTGACTTCAATTTTTTAGCAACAAATGGAATAAATTATATTTTAACCCAACAATTTTATATTCAATTACATTTTGATTTTATCATTATTTGCACCGTGCCTTTAGGCACGGGCATACACTAGTCAATCTATACGTTAGAATGACTACGAGATTGAAGTTCCGATCAAAGCTTCTGAAAGAAGACAGACTTGGGAGCAAGGCCTTGAGCCTTTCTTCTGGTGAGAAGAATTGAATGACTTTTCATGAAAGCACTAGGATCCAGATCTGTCTTTTAGACTTTGAACTGGCAAGTGACGTCTTCTTATTTTTCGCGAGTTAGGGGTGGTCTAGGATGTTTTAAATAAGTGTACTTTTTGATTTTTTTTTTAAAAATATAAAAAGGTAGAGAGAGTGGTTAGACAAGTAGAGATGAGATGTTGATAGATGTTACCCAAATAAGTATTTGTAGGTAAAAAAATACACTTTTTAAATTTACTCCAAACACCTACTTAATGAGAATTAACAAGATCCCCTCTTGTTCTTGCTGTTTGGGTCTCCCTTGGTTTGCTAGAATACATGGGGAGCCTTTTTCTATAGGCTAAAAAGGCACTCATCAGTCAACTCGATCCCTTTCCTATTTTGATTTGCCGCCTATTAAGAGAATAGGTCCCGTTAATACTAGTTAAACTAAATGAAAAGGGAATTTTAAACACTTTATATAGTCTTGCGGTGAGTTTAATGATTAAAATATATATATATTTTTTTATCGTTTATACTTAACAAAAATAAGTGGATGTTTATATTGAAAATAAACCAAAACATTAGAGTTTAAATTGACAAAATTGACCACTTAGAGATCGTTTGAGAATAAGCTTTTTTTAGTGATTTTTACATTTTTTTACTAAAATATGAGATGAAAAAAACTAATATGTTTGTAATTATTTTTTGTTTTTTTATGGAAATATATGCAAAAAATAGAGTGAAGGGAAATTAATATTTGATTTTTGGGTATTGGTTGATTCTTTGACTTTTTAGTGACTTTTGACTTTTAAATTTTTTTGTTAGTTGCCAAATGACCCCTTAGCGTTTGTTAAAAGATTAGACTTTGAGGGCTTTTTTTTTTTTTTTCCTCCTCTCTTCAAAGAAGCATGGGATCTCATATTTATCCACCCAGAATTTTCTAAGTGGATAGTTGTGTGTTAGAGATTAAATTTGTGTAGTGTGAGATTTATGTGTAGAATAAATCACAAAATGATAATTTTAGATAATTTTTAAGTAATTAAGCCTAATTTATTACTATTTTAGTTTATTTTTTATTTTTATAATTGTCCCAAACGATTTTAAGCACACCACAAACTTTGATGCTGAGAATCATATGAAATAAAAGAAAACATTTCATCAATTGATTTTGGACAATTACATATGTAACTATATTTTAGATTTTATGTCATTTTGATCATTAAAATTTTAATTAAGACTATTTTGACTCTCAATTTACGATTTTGTCCCAATTTGATCTAATCGTTTACAATTATTAGAATTTTTTTTAATGAAAAATGCGCGCATAAATGACATGTGTCATGTTTTTAAAACAAAATTATAAATTTGATCAACTCATTGAGTTAACTTCAACCAACCCAATAATCATATTTTGTCAAAAACCCTGCTGATGTTATCAATTGGATGAAATTAACACAAAATTAAAAATTAAAATTAAGTTAATTAAAAATATAAAATTCAAAATGATACAAGAGGCCAAATATAA